GCCCTCTCCCTCCCTCTCCCTCCCTCCCTCCTTCGCTCTTCCTTCTTCCCCGCCGTCCTCCCTCTCTCCCTCCCTCTTTCCATCCCGTCTTCCCTGGCCTCCATCCTCTCCTCCTCCTCCTCCTCCTCCTCCTCCTCCTCCTCTTTCTCTTTCTCCTCCTCCTCCTCCTCCTTCTCCTCCTCCGCCTCCTCCTCCTCCTCCTCCTCCTCCTCTTCCTCTCATCATCATCATCATCATCATCATCATCATCATCATCATCATCATCATCATCATCATCATCATCATCATCATCATCATCATCATCATCATCATCATCATCATCATCATCATCATCATCATCATCATCATCATCATCATCATCATCATCATCATCATCATCATCATCATCATCATCATCATCATCATCATCATCATCATCATCATCATCATCATCATCATCATCATCATCATCATCATCATCATCATCATCATCATCATCATCCAACTCCTCATCCTCCTCGTCCGCCTCCTCCTCCTCCTCCTCCTCTTCCTCCTCCTCCTCCTCCTCCTCCTCCTCCTCCTCCTCCTCCTCCTCCCCCTCCTCCTGCTGCGCCCGACAGCCCAACGAGGCCGAAGGGCAATAGGTGCGCTCACAAAGAGGGCGCCGAGCGATCCAACGAGACGCGCTCTGCGATGGAGGGAGGGAGGGGGTGGTGGAGGAGGAGGAGGCTGCAGAGGAGCCGGCGGCAGGAGGAGGGAGAAGAGAGGAGACAGGACGGAGGAAAGCGAACCCAGGAGGAGCCAGGAGGGAAGAGATGCCGCAAGGACGAGCCGCGGCGAGGCCCGCCAGCCGATCCAAGGAGACCGTCGAGGCGAGGCGCGCGCTGTCAGCCCAAAAACAGCTCGCAGCCAAATCTTCTCCTCCTCCTCCACTCCTCCTCCTCCTCCTCCTCCTCCTCCTCCTCCTCCCTCCTCCTCTCCCTCCTCCTCCTCCTCCTCCTCCTCCTCCTCCTCCTCCTCCTCCTCCTCCCCCTCCTCCTTCTCCTCCTCCTCCTCCTCCTCCTCCTCCTCCTCCTCCTCCTCCTCCTCCTTCTCCTCCTCCTCCTCCCTCCGTAGCAATTTTGGTTAAAGGCAATATTTGTGGAACCCCCCACACGCAAGGTGGCGACCGACGCTTCCCGCGGACCTTCTCAGGTGGCTGCCCAGCCTGAGGTTCGCAGCTTTCTGGCGTGTGCATACGCGCCCCATTGTCCGTGTACTGTTGCGGCGGCAGTACGCGTCACCAACATTCCGTTTTCATCCCCGCAGTCGCAGCCATGGCGGCGCCTTGCCCTGCCTGTGGCTGCCGTAAGTACAAGCCGTGGTTCTCGTGGTGCAAGGCATGCCTCTCGCCGCTCCCGTCCGCTCTCAGCAAAGGCCGTCCTCGTTCTGGTGGCGATGGCGCTCAGCTGGATGGTGGGGGCAAACGTCGCCGTGGTGGCGACGGAGGTGGCAAGGGAGCTGAGAAGGGATACGGTGGCGCCGCCAAAATGCCGCCGCCCCCGCCCAACAGTAATCACCAGGAGTACCTCGATGCGCTCGTCAAGCACTTCAAAGGCGTGGGGGGGCTCCCAGGGTCTGATGCCATTCTCCAGGCACTGTCGGCGTCGGCTACAGCGGTCAAGCAGGCCGCCCTGGACAAACAGAACGCGGGTGTTCAGGCGTCGGCGGTCCAGAAGCAGTTGCTGTCCAAGGGGAGGAGCTCATGCAGATCACTGAGAGCATCGAGCATCACCGTAAGCGCGGAGAGGAGTTACAAACCAAGTCAGTTCAGATCAACACGGAGATCGAGCAGCTCCGTGTGCGTTATCGAGATTTGTCTGCCAAGGTGGTCCCCCAGCTGGAGCCCGAGGCGGAAGTCGACATCTCTAAGTTCAAGGATACCGTCACGGCCATGGATACCTTCCTGCAGGAAGCCGCAATGGCAGTTGCGAATCAGAACCTTTCGGACCTCAAGGGCAAGGTGCAGGCCATGCACAACGCTCTGCAGTCTGGCAAGGAACATCTTTCCAAGTCGGAGGAGGTCGCCAGCAAGTCACGTGCGGTTTCGAGAGCTTCATCTGCAGGACCTCCTGTGGTCAAGAACGACGACGACCTGTTTAACCTTCTCGGCGGCTCCACGGCGTCGCCTGATGACAAGAAGCGCAGGGTGGAGATGCTGGAGGCTGTCGCTACCAGGTTTCGGACCTAGCAGTTCGGGGTCGTCGCGTTGCACTACGGCACGAGAGGGGGCTCCGCCCCAGCCTTACCCCCGTGGGGCCCTCTTCGGAGACAGCCCCCCCCCCCCCCTGCAGGGGAGTCGGGAGCTTCGAGTCCTGGGGGCGCTCACGGGACATGTCCTATCAGTACCTGCTCGTCGACGGCTGCCACGTCTTCTGGGCCATCCTTGTCCCGCGCTTCGGCTGGGTCTGGAGGGGCTTCGTGGTCGATTGGGTCGCCGAGTTTTGCTTCGTCTTCGTTGCCAGCCTATAGGGAAGGGGGCTTTGTGTCCTCCCACCAGGCCGCTGGAGGCCCATGCGCACGCCGTTCCAGCTGCAGTTTCACGTTCTGAAGGCATAGGCTCACTGTGCCGCAACCGGCCCAGTGTCGTCCTCCCCTCCTCCTCCGGGTTCCCTGGCAATGAGTTTGGTTTCATTCTGGAGACTTTCAATGGTTCGGGGTGGGGGGCGGCTCGTAAGCGGCTGCCGCAATCTAGTGCACATATAGTTCCCACCCAGGAGCATAAGCTTCGCAATTTTGAGGAAATCGATCAAGCCAGTGCCTGGGGTCTCAGACACGGTTGGAAGATCTTGTGGGAGCCTGGATGCTTTGGGGGCGAAAGTGGTGCTTCTGCAGGCGTTGCGGTAGCGGTTCGAGCTGTGTTCGGGTTCCACCCCTTCCTGGACGCCTCGCAGGTCTCTCCTCGCAGGTGCGCGGCAGGCGTCGTGCAGAGGCTCGGCCAGCCACAGTTCTTAGTCGCCAGCATTCACTTGCATGATTGCGAGCAGTTGAGTGATGCCAACATATCGGTCCTCTCTGACGTGGTGTCGTTCGTGGGCCACTCTGGGTTGCCGTTCGTCATCGGGGGGGACTTCAACATGGTTCCCGAGGTCCTCTTGGAAAATGGGACCCCCGAGCTTCTGCGCGGTTCGCTCGTCTCTGCCCCAGGGGATCGTGGGTCTCTTACGGTGCCCAGTGGAACCAAGCACTATGATTATTTCCTGGTGTCTGGAGGCTCGAGTAAATGTGTGAAAGGCGTGGCTTTGATCGAGGAGGCTGCGACGTTCCCACATATCCCTGTCAGTCTGGAATTCCACAAGGCCCTCAGCACCCTTCGGGCCCCCAGGTTCCGCAAACCTCCGAAGCCCCCCGCCGACCCCGCCGCGGGCCCCGTCGTCCAGCCGCCTGATTGGACTCACACTCTGGAGCTTCTGGATATCACTTTGGATCGCGCGGGGTCTGGGAGTCTTGGGGAGGCTTTCGATGGTTTGGACTCGGCCTACGAGATATGGGCCAGATTGTCGGAGGTGGAGATGGTCAATTCAACTCAGACCTCCATCCCAGTCTTAGGCGCGCGCGGTCGCAGGCCTCGGCGCGAGCGGTACGACCCGCCCGCCATTGACTCCAGGGCCGCCCCGCCGTCGGCGCAGCAGTCGGTCAATTTCTTCGTCGTGCAGTTGCGTGCTCTGATTGCTCGTCTGGGGGCGGGTGGCCCTGATGAGCATCCAGCTGTCCAGTCTCTCGTGGGACAGCTGCAGCGACCTCCTCGGAAGATCCTGGAGAATCTTGGGGAGCGGTCTATTGTTCATGATCAGGTTCAGCTTTATCTTGGCCCCCGTGGGGAACTTTCTCTAGGCGACTGGAGGATTTCCCTGGCGCAGCTTCTGGGGGATTTCGAGGGGTCGCTGTCTGAAGCCGCGGCATTCACTCGTATGCAGTCTAGGGCTTCTTGGAGGCAGTGGATCCTGGAGGGCATCGAGAAAGGAGGTAAGAGGGCCCACCAGTACAGTCGAGATCCCCAGAGCTGGAAGCCCACCACAACCCTCAGCTCCGACGGGGCGGTCGTCTCGGATCCCCTCAGCCTCCTGAAGTCCGAGGCCCTTAAGTTTACCGAGCTCTGGGGGACCACGTAGCTTTGGGAGATGTTGTCGGCTTTTCCGGCTCAGCTGAGAGTGGTTTAATTGGCGATGCTTGCGAAGGCCTCTGGAGGCTTTAGGCCAATCGGCCTCTTCGTGGGCACTTACCGCCACTGGGGTCGAGCACGTCGTCACTTTGCTGAAGAGTGGGGGGGCGGCCTGGCAGCAGTTTTTTTTTGGTGCGGCCGCTTCAAGTCTTCTTCAGATGTTGTTTGGAGGCGAGCTCTAAGGTCTGAAGAGTCGGTTTCCTGTCAAGAAGTTTCGGCAAGCGTTCTCTGGGACATGTATAAGTTCTATGAATTGTTTGACCTGGAACTGCTTTTAGACAGGTGCAGGCGCGTCGGCTTCTCTCTGCAGGTCTCGCGCCTGCGCGTGTTCGCCTACCAGTGTGCACGCTTCGTTTTGATGAATGGCAGTGTCAGTGGACTTTGGTTGGCAGTCAAGGGGGTTATCGCAGGGTGTTCCATCGCAACCACCTTCTTGCGCATCTACCTAGTCCTGGATCTGGATCATCTGACACAGCCACGTTCAGTCACGTTAGATGCTTACATCGACGACTGTTCTCTCAATTGCGTCGGCTCCGTCGAGACTGTTGTCAGAGATCTGGCCTCGTCGTCTCGGGCTCTGCACCGCGCCCTCACCTTAGACTGCAAGCGTTCGATGTGGATCGATCGCAACTCGGGGGTCACGGCAGACAAGGCTTGTCTTATTTAGTCTTCTTCGCCAGTCGCTCATCGTCTTCGCGATATCTTGGGAGGCCTAGCAGGGCCTATTACGACGGGGGTCGCCGACCTGGGGATCGATGACACGCAAGGGAAACCTCGTCGTTTGTCGGGTCGTGGAGCTACCGCCAAGAAGCGAGTTGCG